TTCGGCGGGGAGCGGGCTGCTTCCTCTTGGTGTGGGAGGTGGCAGAAGCGGGGGCGGGTGGGTAAGGAATGTCCTCTACTTGCAGCTTCCTTCATCTCGCTACCGGCTTCTTTGCAGTGCCCCTTTTGACTAGCCACGTTAAGGGTTCACCCTGTCCTTCACCTTCCAGATGCCAGTTTCACGCTCCTCTCCGTTCCCCTTTGCACGTGCTTGTGCTGCAGAGCTCCGTGGCGTTGCCGTTGCTCTTCGGCGAGGGCGAGCCCTCCGTACCCTCATCCTTTGTTCTCTTCATCTCCGTGGGGCACTGCATTACTTTGTAAATATTTAAACTCTGCTTCTGTGGTTTCATAATCCTGACGGTAGGGGAAATAAACTTATTTCTGTGGATGTCTCCCAGTGCCGCATCTCTTACTGTCGGGACTCTTTCTTCCTTCCAGCCGTCAGCCGGGAGCGGGGTTGGTATTCCCCCCTGCCCCGCTGAGCTCCGGCCCCTCTCCTGCCCCAAGGCAGCGTGTCCAGCTGCACGCGGGAGCCGGACCCCCGAAGCTCCCACGCCTTTCACTTTATGAACTTGCCCTTTGCTCTGCTCCAGGGTTTTAGACCTGGTTTCAGACCTGCTGTTGGGCAGGGGAGGGGTTTTGGGGACAGGGGGACCCAATTGCCGCAGCGCGGGAAGCGTTTGCAGGCTTTAATGCCGGGTCGCGAAGCCGGGGACCTGCCAAGGGTCTTTGTCGTGTTTTGGGAGGAGAAGGGGCTCTGCCTGCTCTTGCCCTTTGCTGATCCCTAAGCCTCCGCCCCGTCGGCAGAGCCCTGCGTGGCCCTGGGCAGGGGGGAGCCGAGCGCGCTGGGGAGGAGGATGCTTTTTTAGAAGATAAGCTCCCTCTTGCGGGTTGATCCCATCGAGCTGTTCCCTTTCCGTAGTCCTAAGTCTCTGGCATCTCTATTTTCTTGGAGGCTGGGGTCCTTTTCCCTGCCAGGGCGGAGCCCCCCGTCTTCCATTTCAAGCTGATGGGGAGGGGACGCGTGTGCGGGGCCCGGGGCTGCCGGGAGCTGCGGAGGAGCGGAGTGGGATGCGAAGAGCTGGCCTCGTTTTCCCCTCTCCCAGCAGGATACCGCCGCCTGAACTGGGAGGGA